TACCTATAATTTAAATGTTTAAAATGATCAGTTGTCCGAACTCTTTTCAAGATTGCCTCTTAAATATATGGATGTCACATTTTCCTGGATGTATCTAAATGTACTTTGGAAAATGATTCAGGATGTTTTAATTGAACATGTTCATTTTTCTGAAGTGTAAATCATGTAAGTTATGAGTAAATATACTCAAATAATAACCAGAATCCTTCCTCATGTAATATCTACCAGAAATATACTCCTTGACATTTTCAATAATAAGATAGTTGGCTTTTTTTTTTACTGTTCCCAAATTTATACATATGTTTGGAACCTGGCACATAATAAAAGTGCTTGCTTTTTGTTTACTACACATTATGATTTAAATATCAAATGAAGAAAGTCACCAAGTTAATTTATAAAGTCCATACACTTTAAGAATTACATGAGTGGCAAGTCATCTCGAAATCCCCAACAGTGCCTTTGGCTTAGGATTTATGTAACATCAAATTGAATTCTCACAATTCATTCTGGATGATGTTAGTTGGAAGAGTTTATTTTATTATTTTCTCTTCCCACCCTATTGCCTTTTCTGTATGGTGGGAAAATGCACTGGTTATTCCCACTGTCCTTTCAGGGCTAAAACCATATATATTCTTCTTTTTTGCTACTTCACTACTTGGTCTCATTTTCCCAAATATATAAAGGTTAACAAAGTTTACCTCTCTTCTCCATTTCTTTGTATATCCCACAATAAATTGTTCATCCATTGATGTTTTCCATAAAGGAATTCCTATGTCCAATGACCAAGCTGTTAGATTTTAAAATGATATAAATAATTCAAAATAAAAATTAAAAATAAATATAAATATAATCCTTGATTCTTAATCAAGTGATTATTTACTTCCTGAACCAGGGTTCCATTATTGTATTAAATTATCATCCCCAACCCCACTTGGAACCTTAGCTCTATGATTTTGATTACATCTTTATAGCAGCATTATCATGCATTAATCTGCCAATCCTCAGCTCCATACTACACATCTTCTGATATATATGTTCACTGAGTATCATCAACTCAAACCTGAGGAGGAAGTAACTACATATAAGAAATAAAATTGATGCTTTATATCATTGTCTGGATTACCTACTTAATATCATTTACTTGAAAATTTCAAGATTTCATTTTTAATTACATCTGTATTGTGTTGCACAGGGACATTATTAACATTTTATCTGAATCCCCTCTGAGGATTGTTACTTTTTGTTATTTTGATCATTGTCCTTCTGCTTGGATAAGCAGAAATCTTTACAGTGCTATGATTTACATTTCCCAAAAGACTAGTGCACATTGACATTTTATGAGATGCTTTTGGCAATTACTCTCTTAAAATAATACTCTTCTCATGGAAAAGGACCATTTTGTGTGGAATATTTATTTTCTGATTCTGGTTTTTAGTGTTTGATGTATTCTCAATGTTAATGCTGTCAGAAGTATAGCTGGCAAATATTCCCTTTAATTTTGTGGGTTTTCTCTTCAACCTGATTATTGTTCTTTTACCTATACAATTTTCTTTTTTTTGAAGTGCTACTTGTAAATTGTTTTATTTTAATTCATGTCTTAGATTTGCCCCTGCACAGAGCCTGTACTAGACTTTTTCTATATGTTGGGAGTTCTGGATGAGGAGCAGATTTATGTGATTTTAAAATTTGTTCTGAACTATGGGCTATTGACATATTTTTCTATA